GGGAGCGTTGTCATGTCAGATGGCCAGCGGTGAGGAGGAGAGAAGCCGCCCTAGGACGAACTGTGTCGGCCGCCTGGCGCCTTTGTTGCCATGACGCCCTGTGCGGCCGCACAGCTCGCAGACCCCTAGGGCCGGCCCAGCCACTGATCACTCTGCTCACGGTCTTCTCGTAGTCACTGCTCTCTGTAAGGATTCCTCCCCTCTTTCTGTTCCTCTGGTGCTCAATGGAGGGACAGAGAAGGGAGGGGATGGTCACAGCAGGCTCTGGGTCTAGAGAGGTAGATCCAGCTGGCAATCAGGCATCGGGGTGGATCCTGTCAATATTGTCAGGATCATTTCTGGCTGCAGCGCCAGCTCTGCGCTGTAAGCATATAGCAGGCAGTAGCCCACTATTTGCTGACTTTGGGTCACAGGAATGCATTAGTAAATATACTCCTGTAACCCAAAAGAGAAGAAAAATCAAAAAGAGGTTTGACTTTCTCTTTTAAACCTGGTATACATGGTTAGAATTTTGTCAGAAAAAAATCCTTTTTTGAAATGTTTGTTTGATCTAATAGTTGATGGGGTCAAATCAACAATCGATTTTGACCATAGTGAAAGCGGTAGGATGGAACGCTTTTCTTGAATTAACAAAGTTCTAACAGTGAATGTGGTTTTCATTGGAGAAACTCCATTCATTCTAAAATCGAATTTTAAAATCAAACGAAATTTTCAGTGGCATTCGTCAATTCTCTGATGGCATTATTGAATGTTCTGATGAGATTTTGCGTACGAATGTCTATATGAAATTGTAACCGTGTAAACTCAGCTTTAGTGTAGTCTATAGTGACTTGCTGTCATCTATTCTACAGGGTTTCCTGCTGCATTGGAAGCAGCGTTCTATCTGGGGTGAAAGATCTGTAATTAATGCAGCGCCTGGCTGGACTGTCTGCAGCTCTTGTCCATTTACGAGCCATGTTAGTTACACTGTCCAGACTTGGCTGCGGTAAAGATGGGGCTCTGCTCCTCTTCAGCTAAATAGCAGCTGCAGACAGGTACACAGCTACACAGGTCTGGTCTAGTGAATGCACTACAATCGGTATGCCTATTATTAAATAATGATTACTGTATACAGGTATCTAGTTTACATAGGGCTGCATGTACAGCTACTGGAGAAAAATAATCTGTGTCCTCCAGCAACACGCCCAGCTGTCAATGTCTAGTCCATGTCCGGAAATAAGGAAATGAGTGCAAGCATCCGATGAGCTGGAATGTAAAGCATGCAGATTTTTCTTTTTTTGGTTCACATTCAATATATCTCGGCCTGATTGAACATTGAAGCAAAGGGAAAGTGGTACATAACAACCTTCAGGATTTCATGTTTTTTTTTTTTTTTCTGCACTGGAAAAACACATATAATGTGACTTGTTATAAGCACCCACACATGACATTCATTCCACATAATTTATCCAGGTGTGCTCCTTCTATAGCTATACTAATACACTCCATTGCGTGTATCAGGTACTAGAGCCTAAGGTGTCTCTAAAGCCAAAAGTGTTTAAATATTTTGGATAAAATAGGAAATTAATAAAATCCCTGCCAGTGTTTTTTGGCTATAAATGTTGCTTTGGGTAGATATCCTTTTACTTCCTGTCCTGTAGACACAACAGGAAGTGAGGATAAATCTCTCCAAAGAGGGAAATACCCTCTTTGACAAATTTTTACAAAAATAAGTGTCCCTGATGTAAGATTTCTAGGACTGGTAATGATTTAAAATTTTTGTGTTCGATTAATTGAAATTTTTTTAAATCGATTAATTGATTAATTTTGATTCATTATAATGCACATACAGATCCAACTACATTGGCCTATACACATAAAGCACAGCAATGAAGTAATAAAATTAACTAGGATCACACTAATCCAGCACATTATTAATCTCACGTGGGGCAACTCAGAATAATAACGTGCTGGATTAGTGTGATCCTAGTTCATTGTATGACTTCATTGCTGTGCTGTATGTGTATAGGCCAATGCCTTGACTGGCGCTCGTGCAGAGAGTTTAAAAAAAAAATGAATCGATCAAAAAAATTTTTATCGATCAAAAAGATTAACGATTAATCGAGAAATTAATCGTTAATTTGCACAGCCCTAAAGATTTTGCTTCTATTCTTGCTCTGATGACATCCCAAAGTTTTTTATTTACTTCATTTTCTGTCTTGGTGGTAATGGTCACCAGGAGGAATAGAGTGAATAAATCTCCCCAAGCATACACTTCTAGGTTTCTCTCATTCATCTCCGTGAGCAGAGCAGAGGAATCCCCCATCAATGCTAAACAACTTGGATGGAGAAATCTCCCCTGCTAGATGTTGTTTATGTTTACAGGAGGAAAGTACTGGGAGTATGCTGATGCTCCTTAATGACCCAATCAGCAAAGTGCAAGTATGTTCTTAGCCAAGCTGTGCTTGCTGCAGTGTAGGTCAAGGATCTGGCTGTGCAGTCTGCAGGGGTGACTCATTACAAGAGTGATTGCCAAGGTCTACAAATTCTTCTATATAATGTGCAGTCACTCTGAGCATTTTGCCTATATAAATCTAACAAATATCTGGCTGCAATTAAATATTTAGCATTTGCAGGTCAAACACCTTTACAGATTCTCCCATATATTGAGAAATCCAGTTCACAGCTGGAACTATGCAGCCATCCTAGATTTACTCTGTGCACTGTCTATTTCTGTCACTGCTTTGTGAAATCACCTGAGGACTTAATGTCACCTTATGTCACATGGGACCTGTATTGCATAGTACAGTGTTAACCTTGCTGCTGCTGCTTGGATTCTGGAATCTGCTACCATTTCCTGCTGTAGCAATATTTCACCTGGACCTTTTTTTCTAGTTTTGTTTTCCTTCCACAACAGAACTGTTATTTCTGTAGATTAAATATACTTTCTGCTGGAGGTGCTGGGTCCCCTGCAAGCCCTTGGTGAACATTATCCTGTCCAGCTTTGATAGTGGGTATAGTTATAAGTTTGGAATATACATTTCTTGTTCAGTATCTAAGTATCTAAGTAGTAAATGGTGCAAAGTATTATGCTGCCAAAATGTAACAGTCAGCCTATAAGTCGGGGATCATTCACACATCTGTTAGCTCAGAGGCTAAAGGTAGCCATACACTGCTTACATTTTACCTGATTCCTGTTGAATCAGCCACATTTTGAGCTATGGGTGGCAACCCAGCTCAATAAAAGACGATTTTGATGATCAGATGCAGTCACTGTTCAGGTAATCAGTGGCTGTGGGTCCCACTGGCTGCTGAATACAATAGCCAGCAGGGGAGATTCCTTCATCCGTGCTTTTTAGCAGCTTAGAGATCTTAAAGTGTAGCTCCACTTTTGCATTTAAATTTGAGAAAACCCCTCTATATGTTTGTTCTGTGTTCCTACTCACACAGTCTGTCTAAAAATACATTTTAAAATGATATTTCTTACCTTTTAGATATTTGTTTGGTGAAGGCCTTTGTGCAGATCTCAGGCTACTCTGAGTAGTTTGAAAGTCAGAGTAGCCTGAGTCAGTTTGTACATCTCATTAGCTTCCTCTCATTGACACACACTTATTTTCAGTCTTTAACCCTTTGTTAGCACAGGCAGTATTCAAATCTAGCTTAGGACTGATAATGAAATCTCCCAGCACAGTACGGTCAGCATTAATTATAGTATACATCACTTCCCACTGCCCCCTCCCTAACATTACATAGGGGGAAGCAATGTAGGATTTTTAAAGTAAGTATAAAGGATTAAATGTAAGCAGCAATTTTTTTCAAAAACTTTTTAAGTTCTGTAATGTGAATAGGAACATAGAACAAATATAAAATAGGTGTTATCCCAGTTTGGCTGCAAAAGTGGAACTACGCTTTAAGGTGTATGGCAAGCTTGATTTATTCCAGCCAAAAGCAGTACACACAACTCATGTCCTTATCAACCAGTCATCATTTTCCTAATTTCCTCCTAAACTGATAAAAGGTAAAAGCTGAATGATTGCTGTGACACTCAGCTTTTTGCATTACATTATACATTCTCAGCTGAGTGTAGTGAGAAATAAGGATTGGACACTGAGCCTCTTGAATGTGAGGGCTTGTAGACCACTTTCCACTGTGCACAGCCTGGAATTATTTGCATACTCTATGGGAGCTGTCAGATGCAGAATTCTGCTCTGTGATTTAGTCAGCTGATCATTGCCACCTTCTGGCCAATTGTAATTCATTTTAGTCATACAATTATTTATAGATTTTAAAGACCTCAGTGTGTTAACATTAAGAGAACTTGTTGGGGAGAACTATAAAATATTTACAACCTATGACCGTGTAATGCTCTGCACCTATTAGTTGGGTGCCACAAACAGCAAACCAAACTGATAAAACATGTAAAAGTCTGATTACACAGCCCCCTTTAGGAAAGTTCTCACATTGCATAATTATGTTAAAGCTGAATTCGGGGATAAACAAATATTGTCTAAATGCCAGAGGCATGCGTAGTGTTACTTAAGCCTTGGTATCTGTTTTTTATTTCTGTTAGGTCTGTGAAATAATCCAGTGCAGGGTAATACAAACCTGTCACTGCTGCTCTCTCACCTTGTGCAGGGCGAGTGGTCTTGTATCAGCCACCTCCTGCAGTTTTCTGCAGGCAGCTTGTAGTGGCTGGAGCCTGTTGGGTCCCTCCCACAGCTCTGCTCCCTGCACAGGCTTAGTGCAGCACAGTGATTAAGTCACTGCTTGTTTTACAAGCTAAGTCCCCGTTCACACCTCGGCGTTGCATGAACACATGTTCAAAACATGTAACACACTTGTGGTGCCATTATTTGGTAATGGCACCCCAAATTCGGCTGGTATGGTTACAGCTGAAAATGCTGCATGAGCTACTGTTCCACAGTTGTTATATATATATAGAAGTATATTGAGTAATATATTTGAATGAAAGTTTTTTTTGTGCACTGATTTCAGCTTTAAATGTATAGGAGATTGCACTGAGATTGTACAATCAGATTATAATGTCCATGTTGCCCTATGCTGCAGATTACTAGGATAAACACTCCGGTAATAAAACACACGGTGTAAAAGAATCCTAGTGCGGTAGCTTTGCTGCAAATTTAAATAGGATTTGTGGTTTTCCAACCAAGAGGCAGATTTATAGCGACATTTTAAAAAAAATTATTTCTGATGGCTTGTGCTTATCAAATGAGCCCCACTGCTTTTCCTTCGTTTTAACAAAGCATTATAAACTGTTGGGGGATTATGCACAAGACTGCCAATGTGAGGCCTCGTATTGAATGTGTTTTCAAATGGACCTCCATTTATCCTGCTAACTGCCATGAAAGAGTGCCCATTCAATTGATGCATAATCTTGCATTCCAACAGAAATAGCTGAATAATGAGCTTCTCTTCACATTCCACTGAGGCAGACTCTCAGCCTGGGAGATGTGGGCTTATTACAGATCTCACTGGCTGTTTAATAATTCATTTTAAAGGAATGGTTTACAGTTTACCTAAAAAGAGAACGTCACTTAGGCTTTTCCTGCCACCTTCTGGCAGCTTGTGAAGGTGTTTTATGTGCGTGTCTGAGCATGTTCATAATAGAACCTTTCTATATATTGCAGTTGCCGCATATGCCTCACATTAGCGAATGCTTAATGAAGAGGAGCCTAAAGCCTACTGATCTAAGAGACATGACGATTGGGCAGCTACAAGTGATTGTGAACGACCTTCACTCTCAAATCGAAAGTAAGTCTTGTTTGATCATTTGTAGTTATTTCTTTACTCAATGTACTATTGTAGCGGCAAGGCATGTCATCCATATTCTTAATATTTAATAATCGATTTCTAAATCCGGGGGATCCTTCAGCAGAGTCGTTGAAACGAAACTAAGGTGAACTTATTACTTGCACATTATGGCACACTTACCCTTCAAGCGTGCCTTCCTCCATCACTGACCGATCAACTGTCAGCAGCTGCTCCGTCCACCGCTTCTTCAGGGTCACCTGTCGTTCTGTTTGTTCATTTGTCTGCCTCTGATGACTTAACTGATGACATAAGATCAATTCATATATAGCAGAAAGCGCAGCACCAGTTGCATAACTACTGTGCATGCGCACAGGAATTACGTCACCCTCTGCACCCGTTTCCGTTCCCAGCAAATGACAGATACTGTTAAGGACCCAGAGTAGTACACTACATGGCATATGCACTCTAAAACGTATGCAAGAAATGAAAAAACAAACATGAGAAGCAGGTATTTTTTAAGCAGAAGAGACTTTGCATACTGGGAAGGACCTGGGGTGGTACTCTGCACAGCATATATGCGCCATACAATGTATAAAAGAAACACAAAAAACACGAGAAGTGTCCATTTTGTGGCAGAAGAGACTTTGCATGTTTCTTATGCCCAAAAAACTCTGTCTGGCAGTCTTTAATTTTTAGGTTTACTTCCTGTTTAAGCGGTCCTTGGTTTTTATTATTTTATTTCCCAAAAAATAAACATAATAGGAAAACTGCAGAGAAGCTGACATGAGTTCATGAAAGTGAACATTTACAGGAGTGAAAAAAAATTAAATTAGAAAGATATGAACCATGTTGCTGAGCTAATGCAGGATAAAGAATGTTTAAGGGTCATTTCACCATCGGAAATGTTGTTCTGAGGATCGTGCTGTATATAGGTCCACCTCGGGTGATCATTTTCACTAACAGTCTTTCAAAATATTTAAGAAGTCTCTGAGTGATGTGACCAAACAAACAAAAACATTTGATTTATCCATCTACATAGATGTAATAAGTGGATGACCCGGCATGTATTTCAAGCCATTCCTTTCAAACTTGCTACTAGACTGTTTGTTTGTTTTTTAACTTTGATGGAACTTTTGTCATTTAGTGGACATCCAGATTTTGTACTTCAAATAAATCATTTTAGTTTGTTGTTTTCTAAATACTTGAACTCCCTCCATTTTGGAACACAAGTACATCAATGCTCTGTTTGTTTTACTGACATAAAGCAATTGGCTATGCATGATGTGCTCACATCTGTACAATAGGCTTTCTGTTCGGAGGGCAGGGCATCATAATTATATAAAGATGCATTATGGGTCACCAAATAAAATACTACTTGATTCTTTTTCAAAAAAACAATAGTCCTCGTAATATATATGTTGCATCTTATGCGGTATGGCAGATATTGAAATAACATGGTATGGCTGATAGTTTAACATATACTTTTAGTTGAAGCCTTTTTTGCAGTTTAAGTTTTTTTTAGGGAACACATTTTTTCTGTATGGAACTGTTGCCGTTAAGTATTTGTTTATGTAACTTTCACATTTTTTACAAGTGTGGGCTTCCATATTTTTGTTAATGTAGTAAATATAGACATTTGTAGATTAGCCACTAGAGTAGAGGAAGCTCTCAGTTGATCAAGGAAATTACTGCCCACTGGTTAAAGTAGATGAAAACTGACTGAATTACATTTAATCTTGAATAAGCATTGTGTTTCATTCACAATTTTAATTTTTCTTACAGTTTTCACCTCTTTTTCATTATTTGTTGCATTTCAATGCTGCAGATCTCCTGTAGCCTCTCTGTGCCACTTCCTGTCTACATTTGTGCACTTAAGCAATTCCTGCATAGCAAGTTTCCGAACTGAGATTGGTAGTGCCGGCTCCCCAGTTACCCCCACCACCTGCCAGTTACAACATACGGGGGGATATAGCAAACAAGATGACCGCTTCAGGCCTCTGATTGATTTAGAGGTGGTGTAAGGGGACAAGTATGTTGTAAAGTTCCAGGGAGAGGACACTGTGATGCAATTGCAGGTATCCTGCTGCACTCCTTACCGGATATCCCAGGAACAAGGTGGGTGCTTGGAGTGGCTGTGGATGGCGCCGCTTGGATCAGAACTTGATTGAGATGTCACCAGCACACCATAATAAAGTATCCACAAACGTTTATTGATGCTCATTGTCACTTATTGAAGCGCAACATTTCAGGGCCGCACAGGTTCCCCTTTATCAGGCTCAGAAATGACAATGTGTAAACATGCAAATATATAGACTTACAAAGCAGTGCTCAAAAAACAGAAAAACCCGCCTTCTTCTTCTTCTCCACTTTAAACTTCTCCTTCATCCTTTCACCTCCTCCCGGTGCCAGGTTTGATGATTGTTATTAATATTCTGCTCAGTGATTGCTTTTTGACAAGCTGAATTTGACTATTTGAATGGATTGACTGTTCCCAGCAACCCTCCTGATCTGGATGTCAGGTGGTAAGACTGTGATTGTACTACTTGACCTTTGCTATTGAGTTATATGCAATTCCCATGTCTTCTGCCATTGAAGGGACATCATGTCCATTGGTACTAAAATTGTTCTCCCAGTTAAGGCTGATCCCACTAGAAGTCCTAAATTGTAGTTCTAGTTTTATGGCAGTTGAGGGTAATGCCTCTGGGAATCTGCCCTTGGCTGTGACTGGTGAAACTGCAGTTTTGATGTCAAGACTGGTGTAGTTGGAGCATATTTTATGAATTGTTGCTACAGGGTTTGTCCCAATACTTTGATTCCCCTTGGGGTTCTTCGAGCTAGAGGACTTATGTCTCTGCTCTTCGGCCCCATTCACACCAGAAGCTGTGTTATGGTTTGAACTATGCACACACTGGTGTGTGTGTTGTGTAGGGGTTGTTAGAATGCATTGCATTGCTTACCTTGTTTAAAGTTAACAAAAACCTATTAATTTAATTATATGTACAACAGCTTGTTGAGATTGTAACACATTGTGCGATGCTGCATTTGTATGCAACACACTTTAACGCAGCTGTATAGTGTGAACCGGACACGTAGAGAACAGGTTTGTTTTTTTGGGTCCTTGCATTTTGCCTGCATTGATCAATGTTGATCATCACAACTGGTATGAACGAAAGTGTTCTCTTTTACTGAATAGCTCTTACTCTTTAGTTTTCTAGGACCTATCCAAGATTGCATATGCTGTGTTGTAATTGGGTGCAATTGATAATATGATTATTTAGTACAATTCCTGGTCGCCATTGCTACTGAAAAATGCACTCTGGCGAGAAGTTTCAGGTTGTGTAGTGGTGGCTCCTAGTGCTGGGTGGGATTGTCCAGGCGTGAACTCATATATCATAATCAAATCATAATATATTCATAATTTGGATACATTACTGCCTTCTCTGCCTAAAATAAAACCTTCTGTAAGGCTGAGAGTTGCAAATGATAAGTGTTAGGAAGGCGCACAAGTTGCCGAATAAACTTTCATTAAAGATAAAAATAAATGTTTGATAATAGTAAGAAGCCTTTCCTTGATGCTCATGAAAAGTATGTATCAGAGCAGGGGTTGGATAGATAGCACCTGCTGAGAGACTGCCGCTAGAAGCATCGAAGAAAGCCAAGAGGAACATGTAGCTCCCAAGCTTTAGGTGTGAGATAACATATTAAAGTTTTATATTATGGACATAACAGATTTGTGTACACATTTGTGGTGACAGGTGGGCAGGACTAAGCCCAATAAAATCAGGACATTTGTGTCATTATTACTATAGTGAATTCAGAGTCATATGTGCTCAGTATAGGATTTCCCAAGGGTCTTCTCAATGTGCAGGTCACTTACCACCAGTTGCTACTTGGATAATCTAGATCAGGGGTAGGCAACCTCGGCACTTCAGCTATTCTGAAACTACAAGTTCCATTAGGCCTTGCAAGACTCTGACAGCCACAGGCATGACTCCCAGAGGCAGATGCATGATGGAATTTGTAGTTTCATCACCACAGTTGGAGTGACAAGGTTGGTCTAGACCAGTGATGGCGAACCTTGGCACTCCAGCTGTTTTGGAACTACAAGTCCCATGACGCATTGCAAGGCTCTGACAGCCACAGACATAACTCCCAGAGGCAGATGCATCTTGGGATTTGTAGTTTTGGCACAGCTGGAGTGCCAAGGTTCGCCACCACTGGTCTAGACTATAACCCAAAAACCCTCTCTCACTTTCTCCCCACATTGTTTACTATACTGGAACTCCCACCCCCTGCTTTTAGTTAACATTTCCATTCCTCTTAGTTTATATTTTTTTCTGGCTACAACTAATCCAAAGGGGATTGTTGACTTAATGCATAACTGCTAATGAAAGTATGGACCTGTGCATTCCCATATGCATCAAAGTTTATTATGTTGTGTAAGTCTGCCAGAAGAAACCCTTTAACTCTATTAAAAGTCTCGTTTCCTCTGTGGCCTCACTTCTGGGGACTAGGTTTTTATGTGATAGCCTCATCCCATGTAAGTGTGCAAGCACCACCCCAGGGGCATCCCGAGGCTGGTGTGCGCGATGACGTCATCGTGCACACGCGGCCGTATTCTGATACCTGCCGGCGGCCATCTTGGTGATGGACGCCGGTAGAGAGAGGAGGAGACAGCCACCCGGCGGGATAAGGTATGCCGCCAGGTCCCCTCCTCTCTCCTGATACTGTCGGGCGTTCGGTCCATGACCGAGCCCCCGACTTTTCAGAGGGGGGTGACACCAAAATGACTGTAAGTCATTTTGGTGTCACCCCTCCAATGGTGTCACCCTGGTGCGGGCTGCACCCCCCATGTGACGCCACTGCACCACCCTGCTGCTCTTGCTGATTTGTAAACTGGATTCAGGTGACAAAGATTCAATGATTTTTATTTTTTTTAAGTGACACTAAACTCGAGAGTTAAATCTTTAACAGAAATGTATCTTATTTGTGTATCACTCGGCTGTGGATCCTCAAATCATCTCTGAATTGGTGCTGACACTGTCCTTCCTTCTGGAGGGTGGCTACTTTTGTTCCCCATTGTCACTATGTGTGTTGTAAAGTAGTCACCGCTCCAAGCTCGCTCCCATGATGGACTACAAACTCACATTTAGTTTACTCATTTGTATTGAGATTGTAGTCCATCACAGGAGCGAGCTTGGAGCATTTTTATTAGTTTTTCCTATATAATAATACTATATGTAAGAAGTTCGTATTATAATATGGCAGTATGTGCAGTTGCCCTCATCCAGTTATTTGCTGTAAATAGATTTCTGGTTACTAGGGGTTGCTGCGTTTTGCAGGTTTCACAATGCGGTTATTACATGTATATTAGTGTAGTTGTACAACATAAGAGGACCTGTATTACAGGAAGAGACGGTGACATTTGGTACAAAAAAGAACATATTTGCCGACCCTTTAAAGTTAATAAACTCTCCGGCATATACACTCAGTTTTCCATATAATCTCTTTATAGTTTTATGAAAATCAAATCCTTTTTGAGCCGACACAAATGTAAGATGTTTTTGTAATATTCTGTCTCAAAATAGATTGTACAATCAGGTAGTGTGCCATCATTTGTAGACTGTTATCCAATCAATTACCATCCCATATCCTTCCCTTCATATAGTAACCTCATCATAGCATCTAGTGATGTGTGTGGTCTTGGTGCAAACCGAGTTCACCCAACCCGTGGAAAACAGTCAGTGATACCCCCCAGCCCAACCAGTTGCGACAGCTACACCAGGGGTGGAGAATACCCCGACCGCAGTTGAATGGGCCAGGAGGAGGGGAGTCACTGACAGTTTTGTGCAGTCTTGGGTGAACTTCGTTGAACTCTGTGCATACCAAGTCCACAGACATTACTAATAGTAACCAGCAGACCAGACAATTCTCCATTTTCACATTCAGATCAAAGTTAGTTTACTGTCCTATTCTGTACACAGCGAGATGCCAACGGGGAAGTCTAGAGAACAGTAACCCTTAGCAGCCAATCAAACTTCAGCTTTTTAGTCAGAAACTAAAAGCCATTTATATATTAGCTATTAGTTACTGCACTTTGCACATCATTATTGCTCTATCTGACCTTATTGCTTCTCTCAATCTTTTCTTCAGGGATAAATGGAAACTGTAAAGCTGGCCACACGTTACAATCTGACTATACAATCACTGTGTACAATCTGTTTCTAAAATGTCATCTATTGTAATTGTATTTTTTTTCAGGCTTGAATGAAGAACTGGTCCAACTTCTCCTTATTCGGGATGAATTGCACATGGAACAAGATGCAATGCTTGTAGATATTGAAGACTTGACTAGGTAAATTGGTGCTTTTGCATTTGCCTTGTAGGAATATTCCAGAGTGAAGTAATAATGTCTAACCTCTAGGTAAAATCTGGTACAATACTGCCATCTCCTGGAAGAAAAATGTGTGGTTTGTGGCTGAAAGAAAGTCATGTGTACCGAAGTATCAGCGTTTTCTTGTATACACAACATAATAACCGTTTGTTGGCCATACATTTATTTATATACACTAGCATGCATAAAATATATCGATATGATTTTTTTTTACTGATTACATTTTTATCTCATGATTAAAATCATTTGCCAAAATCATCATTTTTAATATATTTTGCCCAAAATAGTTGCTTAACCCCTGTAAGCCTTTTATGTTTCATCGATTGTTTCATCAGTGGACACCTTATACCAGCATATACCAGCCAGAAGCTAACACCACCAATGCAATCATTATGGTGAAATTACTTTTTTTTTTTATAACAATAAATTTTATTAGTTTTGAATATATTAAATACAAACATGCCATAAGGAACCGAAGAAAAGAGAGAAAGAAAGAATAAATGTGTGCGTAGTGAAGGACTTGGCAGCCAAAGAGTGCCAAACTCTGAGGGTTCCCGTGACAGAGTCCAGATATGTTCTCTCAGGAGGACGATTGAGCATAGAGGACTATCTTTATTACGCCGTCGTTTCCCCTGTCCCCCAGTTTAATAAGCAGTCCTCTAAGGAAAGCTTTATGACTATTCCAGACCATGGTGTGGTTGGTAGCAGTAGAAGTATTAAATTCAAAGAAGGCTTTCAATTCAGATTGGATATATTCCCTATTATCAGGAATAGAAAGTAAGCTTGGGTTGAATCTCTATGAGGGAGAGATATGAGGAGGGGTGGCTGGAAAGAGAGTGAGTGAGGCTGGAGCATGGTCCGACCATGTTATCAAACCAATTTCCGCCTTGGCAACCTGTTGTAGAATGAATTTGTCCACTAGAAACATGTCCAATCTGGAATATGAATTCTGGGTATGGGATAAATAGGTATAGTCCCTTTCAGACCCATGCAAACATCTCCAGGCATCATACAATTCATGAGTATTCATAATGGAAGGAAGGGAGCGGTTGCTCCTTCTGTTCGTATTAGTAGAATCAAGGGTTGGATCAATTATTTCGTTAAAATCTCCACATATGATAAGATTACCTTTGTGCATACCGGTAAGCTTCTTAAGTACTGCAGAAAAGAACTTTTTTTGGTTAGCATTCGGTGCGTATAAATTAGCTATAGTGAAGAGGCAGTGATTAATGGTTGCCACTAGAATAATAAACCTGCCTTCAGGGTCTATGAGGAGGTCATGTTGATCAAAGGTCACTGAGTCCCTAATCGCTATCATGACGCCTTTGTTCTTTTTGGTGGAATTTGCGAAAAAGGAGTGTGGAAACCTCCGCTCTTTACAAATAGGGGGTTTGTGTTTACAGAAGTGGGTCTCCTGGACACACAATATATCACTATGCAAGGAGATAGCTTCCCTCCAGAGCATAGCCCTTTTGTGAGGACTGTTAAGCCCTTTGACGTTAAGTGAGGTAAGTTTTAAGGACATATTAAAGCACAAAATGCCCAGAGATGTTGCACTGTCATATAGTAAATAATAAAGGAATAACCCATATACCACATAAACCTCAACAATAGAAGCGCCCTTTCAACCAGGGGCCATATGGTGAGCCATTCAGTATTGTAATCTAGTAGTATAAGTTGTAACACAGAATAAAGTTGATATTGATGCCATTCATAGGGTAGTGTACCTGGTAAAAAAAAGAAGAGAAAAGAGGATAGACAGAAAAAACCAATAACAAAAAAGGGAGCTGGCAGGTCTTTTAGACTGATCTGTAGAGTGGAGAGCTCCCTGACTACCTCCCGCCTCCATCTCTGAGTCATAGCTGTCAGATGTGTCAGGAGGGGCTGAGGTAATTACTGCGCCGGCGCCATTTTGTCTGTATCGCGGCTCCGGCCGCGAATAGTAATCTGTCAATTTCCTCGGTCCCTTCTGTTTCTTACCTCCCATCTCGTCCAAGCGGATAGGAGATTAATTACAGGCAGATCGTGGGAGTCGGACAGTGCCGTGGATGCAGTGAGTAGCTGAAATAAATGACCCTGCTGTGGAGCTGCGATATCAAGCGGCCATTACCGATCGCGGCAAGACCACGCCCCCCGGTGAAATGACTTTTACAGACAGTAACTCAACAGGAGCTTCAACTAGTCCATGTGATAAAACCTTTAGTAAATTGAAAACAATGTTTGGCTGTAAAAGTTAGTAGCATGCGGTAGTGATTGCGGTTTGCTGTAGTGAATTGACCCCATTGTCACTTGTTCTGTAAAATGTTCCATTTATTCTTTCCAAATTCCTTTTTAAATGTTTTTGTGATTTGAAATGAGGACACGAAAGCTGCACTAAAATCAGATGGAAACAAAGTAAAAGTGTTCAGTTTTATTACATCTAATTTTTCTCAGCGTAGTCACTTTCTGGGGTGAACCATCTGCTGAATACATGGGGACCATTCTGCTTGTCACAGTTGACTTATATCAGAGAGTTAGAAATGATTATAGAGATTCTGGGAATAATCCAGTGTCAGGGTCTTTGATATAAGTAGGCCAGGTGATATCTACGGCCAGTAGCCTCACAAGGGGGGAGCGGGGGGATGAGGTCTGCACCCGGGTGACACCATTGGAGGGGTGACACCAAAATGACTCAGTCATTTTGGTGTCACCCCCCTCTGAACAGTCGGGCGCTCAGTCATGAACCGAATGCCCGACAGTATCAGGAGAGAGGAGAGGACCCAGCGGCATACCTTATCCCGACCGTCCGTTCTGCCAGTCAGCGCTGGAGGATTGGAGTGGGGAATTCCTGCAGGGAGAGGTGACTGAGAGTCACCGCTCTCTGCAGGGAGATGATCGAGAAGTGAGCAAGCGACGGTATGCGTTTGCTCACTTCCCGATCCATTGAGCCGACGTGTGACAGTTTAATTGTCACATGTCGGCTCGACTATTAGGATGAGTGATTTTCACCCCCCTCATAGTTCTTCTTTAAACTTTTGTTGAAGTAGATGGGACACAAATTGCCAGCTGAGCAGTGACTGCAGCCAATTAGATGCAGTCAGTGGTGGAGTATTCTGACAGCTATGAGTACTGGCTGTCAGAATACAATAACCTGGCGGGCTATTTAGTATGGATGGAGGAATCAAGCACAAAACTACCAAGTGTATAGCCAGATTAAACAGTGAAGCCATAAGGCCTATTTGTAGTGTTTTGGAAGACAGCACAGGAATTTCTGTCATGGCAGACTTCCAAAATCTTTTTGTTTTTTATTAGGACTGGTTACCTTTAACCTTATGTCTGTATAAGTTACCAATAAATAGTTTGCTTATTGCCTCCTGTATGTACACAATGTTATAGCAGAGACTTGTACTGATTCACAATCTCTGCATAATTGATCATGCATTTTCAGCTTGATTCATTGAAATGCAGCTAAAGCAAACCTTTTTTTTAGGTATGGATAGAGTGGAGAGGAATTAGAACCACTATCAGGCTTTCATTGCTGTCTGTGTCCCTATTGTGGATATTCACCCCCTCCATTTGTTCTGGCTACCATTGAAAATAAAATAAAAGCCCACATTTTGGTTTGTCACCAGAACAGGAATAGATGGAAAATCTTCCAATGGGGACACTAATTCTGGTGACTCTGCTGACCACCAGAGATTACCCTCACTTTGAAAGCCACAGCAGGAAGTGAGAGGAAATTCCTCTAAACAAGTAGAAGGAAATCTCCCCAAAGGGACTAAGATGGCATCAAAAAAACTGACAGAGGTTATAACCCTCCCTTTCTCTATTCAAAACTAAAATAAGATGTTGGCTTCAGTTCTATTTGAAGGCCGTATTCACGCATGTGTAAAGAAGAGGCATTTGCTTCGCATTATTAAAAGCAGAACTCTGGGCAAATAAAATCTTAACCCTTGCAATGGTTGAGGGCCTGTTCACATGATATCAGGTCCTGATCAGGTTCGGATCTGCAGACGCGGTACTACTGATGCAGTGCGTTTTGGCCGCGTTTTTGATGCATTCCAGTTTTTAAAAAAAATATGTTTTTTTTTGTTTTTTTTTGTTTTTTTTTGCTGGAGTGGGGCTGTCAGTATGTTAGCATACTGTGACATGTGACATGCAGTATTTTTTCTGTCGTAACCTGAACGGACTGCGCACGTGAGAACTGTAGCCCATAAAAACACATAGGGCTACATTGGGATGCATTTTTAGTGCAGGAGCGTAAGGACCCGGTCAGCACAGAAAACGGACGTTGTGTGAACAGGCCCTTAGTGCTCGCTGTGCCTTGGGAGCTAAAATAACAAAGTTATACTCACCCATACTGGTTCTTACACCGCTCTCTGCTGCCTGTCTCCTCCTTGGCGTCCTTACATCCTATACACTGTATATAGAATGTGATGACCCAAGACCTTAGGCCACTGCAGCAGAGTGGGAGCAAGGCTGAAGGCACTGGTCTAAGAGCAAGCCGGGATCAAGGTTCAGGTGAGTATAACTTTGTTTTTTTATCTCCGTAGACAAAACAAGCACTTAACCCTTGCAGTGCAGATGTAGCTCCACTGCAAGGGTTAGGATTTGATTTGCACAGAGTTCTGCTTTAAGCCAATGCTTGTTCTGTAAAATGAAAGCCAACACATAAAATTAAGAATGTGTTTGTTGTTTTTTAAAAACTCCCCAGCAACGTCTGGCAGGCATTCGCTTATTGAAAAGCTTTGTAAACGGGTCAATTCAACTCAATGACAGTGTGCCACTTTATAAGACATTCATGTAGCTTTTGATTTTGATCCATTTTCTTCCAAAAATGTTCTGAAGGAATTCTTAAAAGCTTCAGCCATTACTTTCCAAACACCAGAAACACTATAGGTGATTGACAGGCGTTTGAACCTGCGATGCTTTGAATTTCCCATGCATACAGTAATGTTTTCTAACAGACTTGTATTGTCACTTTTCTTTTCACAGACATGCTGAAAGTCAGCAGAAGCACATGGCAGAAAGGATGCCTGCAAAATAAAGCAAAAAGCCATTGAACATTAGGAACAAGCTAAACTTTTATTTTGCTTTTGTGGTTGTCAAAATGCTGATGCTGAAGATGATACACAAGGAAAATCAGTGTTAGTCTTTGATGTCTGAAGCTTTTTGTCCAGTGATTTGGCCTCTGCTTCCTAATTTATTTTAACTTTTTACTTGTGCCCTTCACTACCAGGCATTTTATTAAGAAACTATATATGTACAGTACTTATGCCATTACAGATTATGAGAGAGAGAGAGATATAATAGTTTAAAATGTATTTATTTTTTTCATTTGGAAATTTTAAGTTGATCAGTATTTTATCTATGATAACTACCTTTTCTTCTTCACTGTAGTTCTCAAACACAAATGTTATTGACGGTGCTAAAAGTCAACAACTACATGCCTGCCTCATCGTAAAGTTGTAGCTTTCTGTATCTTGTATAATTCAGTTCAGTTCTCAACATTTTGTGAATGTTGACGATCTGACTTCCATTTTTAGATGTGCTATTATATTATTCAATTGGATTGAAAAGAAAGGTCACCTTCAAAAGTTTTATGTATAAATATGTAAAATAAACTTTAAACATTTGTTTTGTATGTTAACGTCTTTTGGCTGCCATGATCTGTGGAGACACAAACAGTAGGCATATAGCCAGCGACACAGAGCCAGCAGTTGTGACAAGGCTGGAGGAGTATAGACCTGTTTGCTCTATGACTCATGCGGCTATAGTACTGCTTAGTAATATTGTCACTGGCAAGGAAGTGATTGTCCTGGCCCAGTGCTGAACATACATCAATGGAGTAGAGTAAGGTCACTGTATCTAACACTTAAAAGAGAACTATGGGCCAACCTTTTTTGGCTGTAGTTCTCTTTAGGGTCACAGGAGGACATTTACTATGTCCTCCTGTGACCCAGAATTCAGAATATACTGACAGCGCAGAGCTATGCAGCAGCCGGGAAGGATCCCGACAATATTGTCGGAAACCACCCTGCTACCTGACTGACCGCTAGCTCTGCCTCTCTGTCAGCACTGAAGGAATGGAGAGGGGAGGGGGGAATCCCTGTGGGGGTCTGCAGGGAGAAGATTGGGAACTGAGCGGTCAGCGATTTGTGACCGATTAGTTCCAGATCTATACTGTGGAGCTGATGTGTGACAGCTTCAGTGTCACACGTCGGCTCTAATTACCGGGATGAGTGTATTTCACTCTCCCCGTCATTCTCCTTTAAGATGAGTGAATTGATCCTCTAAATTTAAAATCCCACCTGGATCAGGCTGTATGCGGCCATTAGAGTCTAATAGTAATTGGTATTCCATTGTCCCTGGTCAGCTTTTTTTCAGTTTTGTCAAATGTATTGTTTTATATTGAAAGTCTGTAGAAGCTCATGGCAGAAAAGATACCACTTCTCTGAACAATACCAACATAGAACATTTGGCTTACCGGCTGGCAACTTTTAGTCCAAATGGTGTTATTTAATGAAGAAGAGGGCCTACAGAAAGACAATGAAACAAGGATTTATTTTTAACCTCCTTGTTTAATACATTGAGGTGAGCGGAGATCTTAACAATAAAGTAATAAAAAGTTTTTTTCAATTCTTTGTTGTTGCTTGTTGACACACTTACCCAATACCATAAGTTCAAAATATATCTTACAGGGGGTCTAAACTTCTGAAACTTTACCACTTCTACAGCCAGCCAATTGATGGTACAATTCCTATGTACTTCCTAGGGGGGTTGATCACTAATTCTGTCTGCATGCAGACCAGTGTGCGAAAGGGTAAAGTATACCAGCTCCCAGAGATAGTTGCAGGAATTGTGAAAGACCTGGGGCAGACTGAGAAGATGTATTGTGCGGCACGCCATAATAAGCTGCGAGTGTGGCAAGTACCTACCAAACAGGGGAAGTGACTTAAAAGGGAATGGTAAAACAGAACCTGAGCTTACTTGCTGTGTAAACTGAGCACATATGCCAATATCCTTGTACCCGCAAGTTACTCCCTAATAACTGTGCTACAAATGAGTCTGCCGGACACGCACAAAACTCAGGACTAAGGATCATTTTTAGAAAATTAAACTGTTCCATTCATATACTTTTCTGCACACAGAATATAGACAGAGGTAATACTTTGTTTAATCCTACATTGTAACTATGTAACATACAACACATCATAAGGAGTCACAAATACGTATAGTACCATCACACTACTACGTAACTTTTCAGTGTTCAGAAATACCTTAAATATATGCTGCACACCTTAACAAACTATGTTCCAGTGGCAACTAACAAATAAAAGGCAACACACAATGTGTGAAAAAGGAAACTTGTACATCAAACAAAATAAAAACAATAGTCCATATCCCTATGTTCAATCTTGAATAGTATACAGTATATATCCAGTGATGTGTGTCATTCAGTACTTCAGGTGCAATCCCACCACCTACTGCTTTGAAACTCACCACATCATAATGATCAAAGAATTAAAGGTAAGTCAAAATGTACTGCATAATCTCCTCTCCATGGAATTAAACTTCATTCTATGGTCTCTATCCATCAGATGTTTCATTTGACAAAGTGCAGGTGACAAAACAGGACAGACAGGCTACAACATGGTGTTTAAGGTATAGGGGTTAGAAGTATGTAACGTATGATACAGAATACACAGTGCTGAGGTCAGGACTATGTAATGTACAACAGGTGACAAAACAGGACAGACAGACTACAATATGGTGTTTAAGGTGTAGGGGTTAGAATTATGTAACGTATGATACAGAATACACAGTGCTGAGGTCAGGACTATGTAATGTACTACATAGAAAATGCAGTGCATTGGTCAGGACTTTATAATGCACAACAAACCTTGCAGTCTAGCTGTAAAGAGTAAATGTTACCTTACATGGTAAATGGTATCCTACCCTACCCTACAGATGAGTACACCCTTAAATAGTGGTCAATATTGAGTGACCCCTTAAAGCCCAATTGCACCTTCATCTCTTATACCTTAGGTCTGGGAGCAAAAAAAAAAAAGTTTTAATAGTTAACAAGGTAAAGTGGATCTAGCGAACGTTAAAATTTGTAGTGCTTCCAGAAGGGCATAGGGGCTGATATAAATAAAGCAGGCAGCCCCACTTGCCATAGGCATATCTGACAGTAGTGTATTATGTGTAAAGGGGATGCAGCACTT